AATGGTCGAAACTTTCTCCAATTCACAGCCGTCCTAAAATTATGAAGACTGATGAGTATTAACTTTTTTGCAAAGGAAATACATTTAGAAATATTTAATAGGAGTTTAAAAAGCCTATTTTCAACTTAACCATTTACTAAGGAATTGATTTTAGTCATCGGTAAGGAGTAAAAATTTCGAAGAAGGAAGAAACTAATCATTGATGAAGATCAAGAACTTACCAGGCCCAGTTGTGATCCCTGAGCAACCCGATGAAGCAATAAATGATCTTAAAATGTTACCCCTAAACTTTACCTTCATACATCTATCATATAAGGCCTCAATCCGACGAACCACCGAACCACCAAATCCCTGACAATCAAACTTGGATAAAAGAATGCCATGATACACGGTACCAAAAGCTTTAGCGGCATCAGCATAAATTTCATCCAATTGGTTGCCTTTCTCAAATGCATATATTCTTTACGCACCACTAAAATTATGCTGCTCGTCGATCAACAAGGGTCTACAGAAATTAGTTATTTGAGGTGTAATATAAATTTGTATATAATTGACTCAAGAGTCTTGGGGATATAATTCAATTGCACATTCAATTTCTTCGGCCATGAAATGGCTGTAAAGATAAACCAAATTTCATGTTTATCCCTAGCCTGAAAAGAACATGGGCACGATGTAGTCAATTATTGACTAAACGTAACACTACAATGACATAATCGCATAATCAGGTTGGATTAATAATCAAATAACCCATTGTTTTTTTGCAAGATAGTGAACTAACCGACTGTGGAGAATAGAAATTGGGCAATATTGATCTGGGCAATTAATTTATGAATATTAGAGCAATTTAAGACATAGTTTTGAATAATTAAAAAAATCATTTTTGTAGGCCGACTGAAAATGGCGATATGCCGAAACGCTTATGACAGACCAAGGAGGGTGGTCCATGGAGTGATAGGTGATTATCAACTTAAAAAAAAGTCAACTATTTCACACCGCTAAAATATTGTATATATTATTTTTAAAATACATTGTAAAAAAAGTTTACAGAACACGACAAATAGACCTTTAATCTTCGGTTGTTGGTTATCATTATTATTAAGATCAACCAGAGTTATCAATCTCATTATATATCTTATTTAATAACAAAAGATACGTTTTAATAGCAAATAGCTCGTGTAAACTGATAAAAAAAACTCTTCCAAAATAAAAATTAAACGACTGGTTCTGTTGATTTTTGTTTGTAAATATAAAACTTGACCCCTGACGTGATACTATTATTTAGTTTGAAGATAATTTTTTCCCATATAGATTCCAAATGATCCTGGAGGCTTGACACTTGATTGGTTAACTTCTCATACAGAAATACAATGGGGAAATATATATGAAAATCTTCCATAGTTCAAGATCTACATTCAACCAATGGAGAACCTAGGTACAATGAAATTTTGAGCTATCGGTTTGCTGATCGTCTAGACTTTCCTGTTGTGATTAGATGGTGATTAACTACAAATGAGTAGCTACTATCTCTCAAATTATAAGGGAAAAAATAAAATAAAAATCTGTTGTCTTTTCAGGTAAGCAAATCTGGCTGAAGACATCGTTTTAATTAAATTACAATATTTTCAAGTGTATTTTTAGTTTAGTTTAACATCATATCATAAAGAAAAACTTCCCAATTCCAATCCAATATGTAAATCGACTTTCACAAAATAATCAAATTGGAGAAACTCAGTTTTGAGGCTCAGACACTATGACTATGCTGTTATTAAATCTTGAGAGCACTTAAAAAAAGATAAACTGTTACGTAATCGAGACGGTTGGTGATGATCATGAAACGAGCCTTTTGATGGTTAAAAAGCGTTAATAAAACGAGTAAATTGAGTATAAAAGTTATCAGAAATTTTTGTTTGAAATGGATTTTCAACTGGATTCGTGTTTACAGTGGTTCTTGCAACAATTGTGTGGAATAAAATAAATCGAAAAGTCCAATTAACATTGTTCTAATCTAAATATTTCAAAACAATTCAAAGAAATCAGCAAAACAAAAATGAAAATGTTTGCTCATTTATAAATTTTTATTTATAGGTCTTTTTCTGGCCAAAGTATTAGGTTTTCTCCAACTCTTCACTTAAAAGATAAGCTCATATTTTCTGTTTTCATACTTTTAAGCTGTTTATACAGATTTGTACTGGCAGTATAATTTATGAAATTCTGTTTTCTTATTGATGTAATGCATAAAAACTCCAATTATACAGCATATAATTGAAGTTACTTTTTAAATTAAAAAATGAACTTGTCAATTCATCCTTTCACATCGGCAGGCAAATTACTACATACGTTGAATGAGAAATGCATACGTTTTACTGAAATAAGAACTTTTTAATATATGTGAAGTCTTGTGAACTGTAAGACAGGCCAACACAGAAAGTTTAGACAGACCAAAATTATCGATAACGACCAAGAGCTTTTTATTGAAATACCAATTTTCACCGATATATTTGCAGATTATTGCTGATAGTTTGGCAGTCCCGGAGCCATGTAAATGTGTTACTGTAATTCAGTTTCTTGCTGCCAGCTCGTTATTAAACTATTCCTGATGGGTACAATCATGCGGGTTTGCAACTTTTCCACAATCATTTTTTAAACTTTTTCAATTACATCGGGTCAGAAGCTTAATTATTCTAATTTCGAGAGATCCCTTGTTTTACAGATCTGTATTGTGATGAAATATGCAGTTTTACACTGATAATCTGGTTTGATAGTCTGACTTTATTACATTAATGCAATCAGCATCTGTAAAATTCGATTTCTTCTTTGGTTCTGTGACCTTTTGTTGAATAATTACTAAAGGTGTAATAAATAGATCACTGACAGATTTGACTTTTTTTAAGAATTCATCCACTTTTCTTCTCTCATGAGAGTACAATATTCCTGAATCTTTTCTATGTACGTCAAGATACTCTGGGTGAGTCGGGAGTGGCCGATTCACAGTTGGGATAAAAGGATTTCTCCTTCTCAGGAAGGACTGGAGGAGGATTGCCATTGTGTTATTGCAAGGAGTTTGGTTCATGTACAAGCATACCATTCACGCCTCATGGCATCCATGGAGAGCTACCTAAAATGACAGCAGAGGCGACCGAAATGGAACCCATCTCGAGGAGACAAGTTGAGGCCATAGTCTGTCTTTTGGTACTAAGGAAATCTTTTTAAATTATGTTTTGAAATTTTGTTCTTGATAAGTCAATATATAAAAATATTGTGCATGTGTGGATTTAGGGAGATGTTTTTATGATTATTTAGATGACACGAGTGACATGATGCCATTGGCTTTGAGAATAACGGTGAATCGAAAAAAAAGATAATGCAGGCGGGAACAATTTACCCTTGATCCACACACAATAGCAGATCGTCGACCTGGATTTGTCGATAAAAGTAAATTCTGCTCCACTTTGAGAAATTCACCCTTTTAATATACGAATTGGTGGTTCTTTCCTTGCAGCAAAAGGAAAATGAGAGGAAAGGACTTATTAAAAGTTTAATTTACAAAATTTAACCGTTTATGCCACCGTAGGGCATTCTACACTATCTCTTTGTCTGTTGGTACAGTCAGTAGGGTGATGTAATATAAATTCTCTCCCTGCATAACAAAAATAGTCCATTCTTATTTCTTATCCAAACAGTTTTTATTTTATTTGTTTCTGATTATATTCATGTAGGTTTCTTCATGTAACTGCAACTTCTACTAATGCATCCTTTGATGGTATATATCATTAATGAATGAAGGTATACAAGCAGTTAAAATTTAACCACTTGCGCAATACTTGAAAAATAACTTCAATTTTCGAAGATACACTGACCCAAAAGGTGTTTTTATGCTAAACACCAAACTCTGCTGATGTCTGTTTTAAAGCTGTTTGTTTTTTTTAAAGCTGAAGTTTCTTATTCTACTTCACGAAAGTCTTGTATAAGAAATGTGTGGTGATTAGTGACCGTTAGTCGATGATTATTCGGAAATCGTGAGATGCGGTCTGGTGTGATGTAGGTTTCAGAAAAACATTTTCTTTATCGTGCTAACGTTTCGATCTTTATTGAGATCATCTTCAGGGCCTGGGATTTACAAACATTGTTTGAATTTAACAAATACATGTAGGATGTGGAAAAAAGTGAATTTATACAATGCAAAAAAAAATTTTTTTATATTCAATCAAAGTATTTCTACTCACCCGAATACTTTGATTGCATATAAAAAATAGTTTTGTGCATTGTATAAATTCACTTTTTTTCACATCCTACATGTATTTGTTAAATTTAAACAATGTTTCTAAATCCCAGGCTCTGAAGATGATCTCAATAAAGATCGAAACGTTGGCACGATAAAGAACATGTTTTTATGAAACCTACATAACACCTCACCGCATCTCACGCCTTGTGTAAGTTCAGTTTCTGATAGTCCCTTGTTCATTTGTGACTTAAATCGCTTTATTATGCCGTCATTCTATACTTGAATCAGGAGTTTGAAACGTAATGTAAACACCAACCAGCAATTGTTTTTCGTAGTTTGTCTTTCGTAGTTCTTGTTGATGTTCTAATCCTCGCTGTTTTTCCTCGCTTTTTCAATTTTCTTCGGATAATTTTCTCGGACTGAAATTTTCAAAGCATAATGCAATTTGATTTCATTTCTATTCATCAAACTTCATCTGCAGTTTATGAGAACATACAAACTATAGTTTACAGTAACGGGTAGAAATAGTAAAGTACGAAGTACTCGTTATGTACAATAAATAGGATATTTATAGATAGAAACTGGAAGGAAATTCGCGACTGTATGAAGCCATTTTGTATAAAATCGTTTTAAGTAAATACGTCTGTCTTATTTTAAGCACTTCGGCTTCGTCCGTTACCACCCCTCGACCAGCCGATATTGATTTTCTCCTCCGATGGGTGCTTCGTTCTTCGTACAGGGGTGAAGAGGGATATTTGAAGCGTGGCCCCAGTCTTCCGAAGGACGGCGCGGCGATCGCACGTCTACGCGCACGCAGTCCCAGTTGCAGTTGCATTCGCCCCCTCTTTTAAGGCTCATATCGCCGTATTTAGGCTGCTCGCTAGGCAGCACCAGTCTCAGGAAAGCACTAGACCTTCCAATCCAACTTTCATTTCATCTGTGTAAACAACTGACGATACTTTCGGAGTTGTGTGGCCGCCGTTTTTGTGAAAAAAATTCAGATACTTAAGGAGGAAATTTTTCTCAAATTCTAAGGTGAGTTTTTCTAATCGGATTATATTTTAGCAGAGATTACCGACCTCCCACACAGTGTAGTTAGTCAATAAAAATTTGACAGTAAAAGTTTCTATTTACAATTACATAAAATATTAAAAAATGAAAAATAAAAAATTAACTTAATGTTTTGACTTTTGTATCCAGAGATTTGTTTCTATAATTTTTAAACGAATAATGTTTACTTCATTGATTTATTAATTTCTTACTGTTAATTTTCTCTTTTTAATTTTCAAAATAAAAGTTTTTATACTGACGATTTTGTTAATAAATTTTGAACGAAGAATTGATTTATCACGACTAGATTTATTATACGTTTATTATGTAACTTTTATATTTTTGTTTCATTGTATAATACACGTCATAAAATGTAGGAAAAACCATAGTTCATTCGAATGGAACAGTAGGTAATTTCTTTTTTCACGTGCGGCTTTGTACAATTTTAGTTTTATTGGAGCAAACAACACATAAATTTTTACATTTACAGTTTCAAATTATAATTCAGACATAGAAATTGAAAGAGCAAATTATGCGTGAAATTGTATCAAATGGATTAAACTTTAAGTTATTTTCGTAATGTTTATATATAAAGTAAGGTAAAATGAAATTCAGTTATTAAGAAATGTTTATACGAACTATCAGATTTTAGTGAAATCAGATAACTTCAAACTATATAAATATGGTATATTTGAGTCAATTTTCTACAAAGGACTAATTAGTTTATTCATTCAATAAGAATTTAAGTAAGTGATTTTTGTTTTAAAAACGGGATTTTTTTAGTTTGAACTTATCAAGATTCTCAGGGAAATACGAGTAGGTCGATGTTTATATGGCAAACAGGTGGTTGTTACCCCAATTCCACGCTCCCCCATCCACACGAACGTCTTATGGAAAGATTTTGAACAAGTGTGTACATCGGGATCAACTTGCACCCCACTGACAATTAGTTCAACGATTAACGAATTGTTGAAATTTGACCGAAGGACCGGAAGGGTTCCTTTCACATTCACTAAAACCTGTTCGACAAAACTAGACTGGAATCAGAAAACAACAGATCTAGTACCTGTTGGCGATCCTTTCAAATCCAAAAGCAGGGTTATGAACTCGAATCTATTAGAAATGTACAATTTATAAGCTGGCATGACTTGAAATCCTTGTGCAATCTATTGAACAGTTGCATTAAATATTCCTTCATGAATGTTTACTATTTAAAATATTAATCAAAAATTATCAATGGAATAGAATCAGTGCATCATAGGCGAGTAACCGAGTAAACCAAGTTCGATAATTGTCTACCCATCTCATTTATTTTATTCGTTTATTAAGCTATTGCCTGAATATTAAAAAAAACCGATATCAATTGGACAAAAATTAAAGTTCAAAATTATCGTCCTACTGCCATTGCCACTTTTTCAATCTTTGGACGAGTAAAAGCGAAATGTGCTTTGACAATTTAACAAACATTGCTGTTTCTATCGATTTGTATTAACTCAATTCTGCACATAAAGCACAAATACATGTGCAGAAAAGGAGCTATGATTTCTAGCAACACGCCTGACTGCGGTGTTTTGGTGGTCCGGGGTGCGTCCTAGGTCGAATCGCCGCGGAAGTAGGGCTCCAGACAACAAGGTCTCTTAAGCCCCTTACTCGATATTTCTACCTCATCACATATAAACAAAACATACACTATTAACTAGTCAAACTGAGGGTCGATGGGCTACTACACGCATTCACGCTTATAAACACATTCTCTCGAATCAGTTAACAAAATAAATATATCACCAAACTGTTACATATACCATAATAAGATTAACTGCAATAAATCTTTAAATGTTTCTTCTAAAAATCGAAACAGGGCCTTACCCGAGAACACTTGTCATATCGCGTGAGATACCTATTAGCTCCCTATATGGAGCCAAAAAAGGCCGAAATCAGGGCCTGCTGTTATTAAAAGTCATGTCTCAGGCAGGCCAAACGTCCTAGAAGGCTCTAAGTCAAGGTTATAAATAGGGAGAGGCAAGACACCGATTCTGAGGGATGTAATATTTTCGAAAATGTCTTAAAATTATAGATATTGTACTAATTATAGGTAATATATACATTTTTACAAATAAAAAGTTTAAATAAATTCTTCAAAATAAATATACAAATGTAATTGGTAAATGAAAACAAGAAACGAACAGGAAAATCGGAAACAGAACAATATAGGTCGTACTGATTAAAAAAAAAACACAAGATAAATAAACAAAGTTTGTAGTTATTTGACGTTCATAAGAAAAATGATAAACGTTTGTTGCATTGTTTTTTATTCGTTCAGTTCTATATGCATGCTCATTACAATATGAATTGTTTTCAACTTTGACCTCAAAACGTTTCAATTTCAAAACATCCAATTAAAGAGGAACAACTTTTTAAGCAAACATCACTGCAAAAAATATTTTCCGGTGTTTTATTGTGAATTACAGACAGACAGAATGTGCAGATAAGCATGTATCTCTATGTTTGGCATTTATCATTGTCTTTCACTGTTTTATATTAAAAACTAAAACACATTTGATATGAAAATTTGTGCAGTTTATTTGCAAAGAAAGTAAAATACAGATATGTTATTAAACATTCAATCAAGATGATAAAGGAAAAAGTAGGAATCCTTAACAAAACAACTCTGTTTTTTGAAAGGGTGCCGAAGATAAACTAATGATAATATATTGTTCAAGTGAACTTTTTGTTTATTTGTTTAATACTATCTAAAATTAGTCATATTATCTACTGAAAGGATTTATTTTGATTTTTTATCCTTTCTCGATATCTGAATTCTGGCGGGATTATTCATTTTGTTTGAAATAAATAAATGTGCTTTAAAATAAGGAATAGGGTACTGTTTGGGACGTCAAGGACATCTAATGCCTAGGACAACTAGTGACAGGAGATTTTCTAACAGGATGAAGTAATTATATGCCCGTGTGTCATTTATCAGCACGCAACGTTCGAGTTTGAATTTGCGCAATGAGAATTCAAAAACTTTGGAGAACAAAAACTCCAACCAAGTTTTTGACAGAAAATGAAAACTATTGTACAAACACAAATTGAAAAAGCATACATACAATCTTATCTTTAATGATATAATTCAGTTGTATGTGCATCATTATGACAATATTGCCATCTTATCCAAATCCAAGGGTGATCTAGTACTTTTGACCTTATGAGTATTCATGACGTGAAATCTCCTCTCATTTAATTATTATTTACAATCAATAATTTTATTTGTTTATTTTTAATTTTTACTGAGAAATGATTTCTATAGATTAACCTCAAGTAAATTTTAAAGGGCTATGCGAAGATTCGAATACATATCAACTACGAGCCGTTTATATTTATACATTGAGAGGAAAGTCGCCACCCTCGTTTTGAAAAAAATAAATACTTGCAATTGTTATAATTTTCAATTTTTGTTGTTTGCTAATATTTAAAAAAAATAAGATATGACTAAATAATAAAAAAAAAAATCAATAAAAAGGTAAACTGAGTAAAACAATTTTACAAAAAATGTTGGTATGAAAACAATGAAGAAAATTCACTAGTTTTCGTGGTCCGCTTGACCAATTAATATCTTTCAGTTAATTAAGGTTTTTAGTTGAAATAAAAAAAGTCAGTGACACGAGCGGGATTCGAACCCACCACCTTCGGCTAAATACGCCGCTGCTCTACCATTTGAGCTATCGTGACTTCGATCCACTCGGACATAAACTTCCCATCCCAACCTCACCTCTCGAATTTTCCCTCCTTTTTGCCATTTTCAAATGTCGTGTAATCTATTTGATTCTCGGCGACAAATGAAATGGCCGCTGAGAGCTTTCGTGAAAGTATACTTCATTTTAACTTATTAAATTCACTACTATTCGTGGTCCGCTTGACCAATTAATATCTTTCAAATAATTAAGGTTTTTAGTTGAGATAAAAAAAGTCACTGTCACGAGCGGGATTCGAACTCACGATTTTCGGCTAGATACGCCGCTGCTCTACCACTTGAGCTATCGTGACCTCGATCCACTCGGACACTAGCTTCCCAAAGAAGAAAATATTCAATTCAGTATAGAATATATACTATACTGAATATTCCTCTTATATTGATCACCACTTGCATTCGATTTTATGAGGTTTTGATACTAGTGCTATGGAATATTTTCATACTCTTCCAACACCGCCATTAATAATTCTTGCAAATTCTCTGGCATTGCTGGGCGACTTTTTACTCTTTTTGACAACTCGTCCCAAAGGTGTTCGATAAGGGTTTAGTCTGGACTACGAACTGTAGTCGCACCAAACATTGAATTGAAGCCCGTTTTAAATAGTCACTAACAACCTAGCTGTGTCGGGCCTTGCATTGTCGTGTATAAAAATAAAGTTATTTCATTTTTAGAATTCTCACAAATTCACACAGAACCAACACTAAAGATTACGAAATGCCGATTGCGTCCGACATACCAATTCAAAGAAGATAGGCAGATCAAGATGATCGGTAAGGATCAAATTACAGGTTCATCACCATAGACACCATAACAGCTATATTGGCTTACTAAGCCCTGGAGTTGGCAACAAAATGTGATAAAAGCTTGGCAAACTAGCAGTTTGTTGCTCTTAAAAAACTACAAATGATCCATTAAAGGCTATGTCAGAAAAGGAAGAAAAATGTCAAAGTTATCCGGAAAGCCATAGTTCTATCATTGCAACTACAGTTTCCATTTTTTCAAACGGTCTTGGTCTAGTAAAATAATTCAGAATATGCCACGTTTCACAATGTTGTTGCCGACCAATTCTCTCTTGTTAACCTGCAGAAAACATTTTTTTAGAGAGTGAATTCGCCCTGATTTCTGATATTTTCCTTCGACATTTTTAAATAACGTATTCTATTTTTTTATTTATTCGCGGTCCTTTATATATATACAGATGGATGTCCATTTTGGGGCGATAGTTATACATTG